TATAAATCACAAGCAATAATAATTCTTTTCTTTTAATTCAGCTGAAGTATGGGATCTAATTTTAGATTGAAGAAGACAGCAAAAGTATTCCCAACTGCATTTAGTATCTCCTTTGAATCAGGATATAATTTAATATCTCCTTTGAATCAGGAGATAGGAACAGGTGACCTCCTTCAGTCTACACTTCAGTGAAGAGAAAAAAAAAACACTTCAAATTCTGACTGAATTCGTGATCTGTGCATGAAGCTGGACTGGGCCATGCAGGCTCACAGAGTCCCAGTGCAGACCCAAGGCTGGGACTGGGCTTAGGACAGCAGCAGCAAAGCACGCATAAATGTAATGCACTCCTAACCCTCAGCTTTTAAAATTCCCCTTCCTCTAATCTACCAAGGCAGCAGTTCCTAAGCAAGAATCAGAAAACTTCAGCCTTGAGTTGTATTTTGTCTGGATTTTTACTTATTGGGACACTTTTAGAGAACTTCATTCTTGCTCCCAGTCTTAGTAAACAGAGCAGGCAGGCACATTGCTTCTCTCCTCACCTGGGGTTTTCTTGGCACAAGCTGCTACCGACAGTCCTGATTCACACACCTGAAACACCAACACAAATCAGAAAAGGGAACTGACACATAGACAACAACACCAAAAATCCCCGTCCTTGTATTCCGCCAGTCACCCTTCCCTTTCCTACTTCACCTCTCGTTAGGGCGTTATTAATTGTGTAAATATCCCCAGTGACGTGAGCAGCACCGAGCGCCCAGGTGGCGAACACAACCCACACAGCACGCCCCGCGCTGACACCACGCTCCAGCTATCGCAGCAGTCACAGCCGGCACCCCACGGGAGAGCCTCTCATTTTGCTGCTATCAGCGGAGCAGAACTAATACAAGGGGAAAAAAAATTCCCTGCTTTGAAAAGACTCACAGACCTGCACGCCGAAGGAGGCTAAACCTCCGAGGTAGATGTGTCAGGAGGCCCAACGAGCAGCAGGAAGCCAGGCTCGGTACCAGGCACGCCGCCTCCTGCAGCACGCACCAAACGAGAAGTGAGTTTTCCCACCCAGGGAGCTACCTCGTCACACTCTGCCTGGCGGCCAATGCAACAGGGCCCTGAGCGACAGTTGGGTCTTCCTCCCTCTTCCAGAGAAGCTACAATTTCACCATCTCTTCCCATGTTAACATCTCTTCTTCTCCACAGGCTCAGCCACCTTTTTCCCCAGATGGCCTAGCCTGTTACCTACACCTAAAATAAATGTTCTTAGGCTGTATTTAAAGGTTTATACTCTGGCAGAAGACCTAAGTGTATGACACAGCACGGCCCTCCCCAGCTCTCCCACTTGGTTTACCAGCAGGTATCGCCTCTCCCCCCAGGCCTTGCTGGCTCACTGGAACACTCTGGTGGAAGCAGGTAAAAACACAGCTCAACCACACTAAAAGAACTGACTTTGATTATCGGTTTAAAACTACTCTTAGGGTTTTACAGCAAGCTAGCTGCTGCCACCCAGCAGTACCACAGAGCCACACCATGGAGTCAGCGCGGGGCTGCAGGGCTCTGGCTCGAGGCTTCGCTCGGTGCCACCAGGGGAAGCCGATGCAGCTGTCCTCCTGGGGGCAGAATCAGGCCCCACAATAAAGAACCTCGTGCTTTCAGGCTCAGGGCCACACACGAGCCACCCCAACAGGGGCAGATAAAACCTCTCCTTCTGCTGCCCTGTGCTTCCCAGCTGGCACCCCCGAGCCCCATCTCCACGTACAATAACTAACACAGACAGGGCCGCAGGAGCACTTCAGGTGGCACACACCGGGCTCCTCTTGAGGCACCACGGCCGCTCAGCACAGAGCACGGGAGGCTGAGGGCCTGCAGAAGGCTCTGTGGGGACCCCACCGCAGCCCTCCAGTACCTGGAGGGGGCTGATAAAAAAGGAGAGCGGCTCCTTCCTCATCACTTATCAACAGGACGAGGGGGAGCGGTTCCGAGCTGGAGGAGAGGATGTCCAGGTTAGCGGGTAGGAGAATTCTTGCCTCAGGGCCCTGCCACAGCCTGCCCGGGGAGCCTGCGGGCGCCTCAGCCCTGGGGGCGTTGCAGGCCGGGCTGGACGAGGCCCGGGCCCACCCGCTCTGCCCGGACCCCCCGGATCCTCAGGGTCTCCCCGGGTCTCCTCAGGGTCCCCTCAAGGTCCCCCAAACCCCCCGGTCCCCGCCGCCCCTCACCGGCCGCTCTCCGCCAGGCCGCGCCGCCCCGGAAGCGCTTCCCGCCTCGGCCCGCCCCTAGCAACCGCCCGCGGCCGCCCGGTTGCTAAGGGCGGCCTACCCCGAACCGACCCCCCCCCAGGCCGCCCCTCACCCAGGGCTGGCCCTGCTTCCCCGAAGCGCCCGAGCGGCCCTAATTAAAGCCTCCTGCTGCTGCCCGGCTTTATTTGTTTGATTCTTTGTTTCTTTGGTTGTTTATTTCCCCCCTGTCCAGCTCCCAAATGGAGACGCCTCGGTGTGATCTGTAAAGGGGAAAGCAGCGCGTGCTGCGCTTTGTTTCTCCTGTGGTATTAAAAGACTCAGATTTTCTTGGCCCTTCTCCTAGCCCGAACGTGTCCGTAGCGCCAGCTTGGTTTTGCTGCAGGTCCAGGAGTCTAAATGCTTTGAGGAAACCTTATTGGTTTGCTGATAAAGAATCAGTTCTGCACAGAGGGCGTAAGGTGCGGCATTTGTAGTAAAAGGATTTCCCAGGCTGCTACCAAGCATTTCGGTTACATAGGTATTAACAACAACAATTTCAAAGGTTATGAGCAATTGGATTTAAAACCTTTTATCTTTTTATTTTAGCTCATAAGACTTCACGGACAACTAGGAAATGTGCACAGCTGTGAGTTGCAGAGGACAAAGACACTTTACAAAGCATTTTTTCTGGCTTAAAAATTAAGAAAAAATTACTCTTAAATAATGATCAGAGCTTTCACTACCTGTGACGGCCAAGGGATAAACCCAGAGCTCAGGAACAGCAATAAACCCTGGCCTTTAAGGTCTGAACACAGCATCGAGGATACAAAACCCCTGAGGATGGAGAAATAACTCCGGTGAATGTCAGGAGAGCCCCTGTCAGTGCGGCTTAAACGACCAGGTTAAATTATTTCCATGCTACCAGCACGCTGAGCTGGGGGTGCTGCCATCCACGTACACCCTCATGGCACTGATCCTCAGGGTCTGAGGGTTGTGGGCAGAGGGCAGAGCACACACAGGGCTCACATCAGTACCATCTGCCTTCCAGGTTAAAGCCCCTCCGTTCCCTCTGCCGACAAAACTGGCACTAGCTATGGACAGGAGAAATAGGCAGACCAAAATTGCAGCTTTTATACAGCTCCCACCCATTCCCTCTACCACCAGCCCCCTGGCAGACCATCAAACGCCTTGGTGGCAGTGCCAGGCTCTGCACAAGGGCAATGGCCTTTGAGCTGCAAGCAGGTGGTGCCATCAGCCCGCCCTGGCTGCGCGCCTTCCACCTGCACCGCGCTGACCCATTCATTTCCCTGATTTTGAAACGATGAAAAAGGAAGCTGTTTGTAGGTGTATGCTGGGTGGATGACTTTCCAAAGCCTGTGAGATTTGTGTGGGTTTCAAAGCTAGCATTGATTCAACAGGCAGAAATGGCAATCTTGTCAACACCCAATTCTGAACAGAGACAGAGCTCAGATGTGAAGTCTTTTTCCAAACCCAACTCATCCTTAGCTTTTTTATTTCTTTCTAAATTTCTTGTTTGGTTTGCACTGAAGTATTCCCTGCAAGTCTTTGCAGTGAGACCTGTTTATTACCATACACTACACCACATACGTCCTTGCCCACCATAATCTTTTCATCCTCAGGTTATCATTATCGAGCCAGGAAAAAATAAGTATAACTGCTTTGTTATTAGGTCCTTAATGGAAACACGGTTTTCCTCACACCCTCTCCATAAACTAACACATCTTACTTAAACTCTGATTTTTCATCAGAAGCTTTTAAAGCAGTGTTTCCTCAGGAGGGGTACCGGCAGATGAAGGACTTTTGTGAGCCAGGGACAGGGTTAGGATTTTAACGCCAGCTCTCCTTGTTCCCGGAGCGTGGCTGTATTGTGCTGTGTAACTTTCTAGCCAAAGCTCCTTTCCAAACTGAAATGAGAGTGGAAGACCAAAGATGAATTCACTGCTGGCATCTGAGCTCTGTCTGCCTGGGTAAGAAGAGGAAGGAGCTGGTATTTAGCTTGAAATTCAGGAACCAGTGACTGTAGGATGCTGACATCTGGCTGAAACTCCTGGCAGTTCACTTGGATGATGCTGAAATGCTGCTGTCGCTCCACCAGGAGATAAACAGAGCCAGACAGGTAGCAGCTCTATAAATGGCTCTCACCCGCAGAGCACATCAGGCCTCCTGACACATACGTATCTTGCTGGCTGGTGCCATTTGTTCTATTGTAGTGTCAGTGATACGGTAATGTTTGAAGATTAAGTAGGCTTTTCAAGCAAGCTTTTAACTCTCTGAGACAGCCTTTTCTAATGGCACTTCCTTGTACGTTTTGAATTACCGATTTATTTTGGCTATTTTTAATCGGATCCCTTGCTTCAGACTCATTCTCACGGAGCAAACTGTGCTCCCATCCAGAGGGACCTTTTGCAAGAGATTATTTTGATAATTGTTTGTATTCAGGTTCCTACCAATCTGAATTCTTCAAGGGAAATTTCTCCCCAGGATACCTATTGTTGTTCAAAGGATCGACTCGGGAGGCTCTGAAGATCCAAATCCCAGCACTTTATCTTTCCAAGGTGGAAAAACCCAGTCTCGTATAATTTTCTAAAGGCAAGTCTTACCACACCTGCTGTGTTTGAGATTTGGCTTTCTCCATTTCTTCCTTAGAAGTAACTGATAGCACAGGTCAAGCCTTGTCTTTCTCAGTCTCATTTTGTTTGCTTTCCGCAGAAATTATTGCATCTTTGCAAAAAACCTTTGGAATTAAAAATACTGGGTACTGTACCGGCAACAGACAATGTAGTAATGGTCAATTTATTTATAATATGTCATCAGTCTGCTATGCGGGATAAGAAATTTGAACTCAGATATGTCCCAGCCTATCTCTAAGGTGGCAAACTTAGGCAGAAAATAAAGCTTCTAATCTTCTTAGTTCTGTGTAATGTACCATTAGGACACTTGTGATAAGTGGGCCACCACCACATCTCTCGAGTAAAAGAAACCCACAGGAAACAGTTGTGTGTGGCTCCATCAGGAGTACTGGGGCTTAGAGAAACTGGAGGCCAACAGTCCCCGTCTGTGACATTCTGGAGGAGTGCAGAAAAGCCCTTGACAGCTGAGAATAGGAAGCGATGTTTTTGTCATTTGATGGGTTACTTCTTCCTGACATTAGTTTCAGCCTCCCAGGATGAGCAGGCCCATTTCACACGCTGCTCAGCTTATCTGGAGCTACCCGTTCTGCACCTGGAACAGACAGGGGCGATTTTTTAAAGCATGGCACAGGGACTGGAGGAGGTAAAGCTAAGAGGAAATCAATACCTGGGAAATTGCTGCAGGATCCTAACACCGTGTCCTTCATCAGCAAAGGACCAGCAGTGAAATATAACCCTACCTGGTGTGTGCTTCACCCAGGGAGGTTTGGTCTACGCATGTGGGACTCCAAAATGCGGCAGCTCCAGCTGGAGAAGGTACCTGTGGTGGCCTCTGTACCTGGCCACAGACAGCAATGATGTAGGCTTAGGCAAATAGAGAGCTATCCAGTGGGCATTGCTGACCCCAAGTGATGACCTGTGGGGGTAATCCCAAAGTCACATACCCTGTGTTCTGGGGGCCAGCAGAATGCCCACAGAACCAGTCGCAGGAGGAAGGAGAGAGGGGAAAAGCTGGAAGGTTCTAGGAACAAATCAAGAGATGCCCTAAAGGGAAAAAGCCATTTGCTCCCTTTACAAGGCAAATTTGTTGTTTGTTGTGCCAAATTATAATTGCTGCTACTCCTAAAATGAAGCTCCCATGAAGAGAGCTTTCACGCTGCTTGCACGTGTACCTGCACGGGGCACGGATCCACCTGGGTGACCACCCTGCTGGGAAACAGATGGGTGCAGAACTGGCTCCAAACAGCACTGGATCCTATCGCAGCCTGTAGCAGCTTTGTCCTGAGGTGTCAAGCAGCCAGAGCCCTCGTGGCAGGACTCGAGCTGCTGGCAGCAGGGGGATCACAGCCACCGCTGCTGCCCCAGGAGCGGCCTCGCTAGCCAAGGGAGAGCTGAAGGAGCCTGGCAGAGGAGCTCCAGAATTGACCCCTATCGGCCTGAGGAAGACACCAAGGCTACAACTAAAGCTAGAACAGCAAATTCTGTGGCAAAGAAAAGCTGCTCTTTCTATGCTATTTAAGAACTCCTAAGCAGTATCCACCCGATGGAGCCTGAAGGGATTTCAGAAAGTTCTGCTGCCTCCCACATTTAATCTGGTCATAAAGAGAGCTTTTTGTTGTGTAGGTCTCCTTGGTCCAGCCGTGCACGACAGGAACCCAGCCTGGGCAGAACAAGGAAACCCCTAGGACCATGGGGTTTTACATAGTCTTCTTTGACAGCAGCCCACTTGAGATACGAATGCAGAGCACAGCCCTCATAATCCAAGCTGGGCAGCAGGCAGCTATAAACAAATCAATTATAGACCAATTCCTCTTGATCTGAGAGAGATTGCCCCGGGTCTTAGAGCAGCTCTTTGTAAGGCAACGGGCCAGGCAGATAGAGAATTAGCTCAAAAACAAGCTATAGGATAATATCTTGGAATAGCATTGGCTCTCAACTGGTTTCACAACGTGGTCTGATTCATCTGTTCAGCCAGTGTAGCACCAAGACCGGCAGAAAAATAAGTCATGCTGAAAAATTGATGCAGCCAGCCTCACACATGAGAGAACATGAACAGATTGTTTCAAAAATACAGACAAAAATCCCTTTCCAGTTGCAGAGAGCGCACAGCCGTGTGCACCAGTGGTTTTGGAAAGCCTGCTCTGTACTGCCTAGAAATAGTCTTCTCTGGGGTTTGTGAGTAAGGATGAGACACATCTATCACCTGGCTTGTGCAGCAGCTCCTCTCCCCGTTGTCTGGTTGGTGTCACTTCTTACGGCTGGGAAGCAGGCAGCAGCTCTTGCTCTCCATGTGGCTGTTTCGGGATCATATCAGAAGTCCCCTGGTCAGCTGCTCACTTCAGGGCCAGCTCCAGCTCCTGCTTTGGGCCATTCAGTCTTTTTCTTGATTTCCCTGGGAAGTGGCCTGGCACTGATGTGATACCAAAGGGAAGGTGAGCCCCTGGAGCATTCAAAGCAGGCAGAGCCAGAGGTGACGGTGCACATCTGCCTAGGCATGGAGCGGCTGCTCTTTAATCCCACGGCGTTATTTGGCGTGCTGAGCTCCTTCGAGGCTTTCTGACTGTTGGCTTGCTGCTTGCCAAGGCCACACGGTTTGGAGGGACACTGTTCTGCTGAGAAGCGAGCCCAAATCCCAGTGCTGATCCCTCACCTCAGCAATGGCAGAGAGACCCATGCTGAACACTCTGGCCCCCTGCACACACCAGATGCGGCGTCCTGCCCCGCATCCCGCCTCTGCCAGCTGGAGCTGTGACGAGCTCCCTGGTGCAAGGTGAAGGCATTTTGCAGCAGGCAGCTCTGAGTCATCTCACCTGCTGAAACTTCCCTCCAGCACCAAGTCACGCAAGCCCCGAGCTGGGAAGCTCTGGGTCCCCAGCAGTTCTGGGCATTATAAAACCAACGCTAGCAATCTGGCAGGTGGAACTCGTGCTGGAACCTCATTTTTTATTTTTTATTAACTCCTCTGAACTGTCCCGGTCTTCCTGGCATCACAGCGGTGTGTTGTTTTTAATAGGGGGTTTCATTCCTTGTTCCAAGAATGAAAACAGCTGCTGGTGCACGGAGCACCCCAGGGGAGACCCTTCCTTGCCTTTTTCCAGAGCAGACGAGCGGAGCAGGGCTCCCCAGCTGCTCTGTGAGCTCGATGCGAAGCTGTGATGTTTGTGAGGGACTGAAGCATGAAGTGCCCCGCTAACGCTAGCAGGTGTGCGCAACAAAGGGGAAGGAGGAAAACGCTGATAATCAAAGAAAAAGAAAATAGCAAAGAGATAAACCCTCCTGAGCAGGCAGCGTGAAAAAGTATTAATGGTTAACTTCCTTATTGTGGGGTAGGAGGAAAAAATGCAAGCGCAAAGGGAAAGAAGTTTACCCTGCAAAGCAAATTTGTCATTCACCCCGGCGGATTATCGTTGTTGTTATTTGCTCTTCACTCTGTGAACAATGCCGAGAAAACACGCAAACACCCCTCAACTACAGCCACAGCCCCCTCCCCACAGCCTCCTGCCTGCGTCCTTGCTCACACAAAAAAGGGGCTGCTCAGCGCAGCCTTTGAAATCCAGGAGGATAATTGCCTCTCTGACGCGTAGGAGACCACAGGGCTCCCGAGGGAGCACAGGTATAAAAGGAGGAGCTGCACCTCTCCCTGGCAGCTAGAGGACAGCTGGGGGCACAGCCGCCTGTCCCTGCTCAGTGGCTTCACGTGGGTCCTGCCCGGGCACTGGTGGAGGGGACGCAGCCAGCGGGGCTCTCAGAAGCAGCACCAGAGAAGTTGTATCTGCAAGAGGGGCAGGGGACATCTCAGCAGGAGCCGATCCAGGACGAGCTGTGGTCTGAGGGAACGGTAAGAGCGGGTCTCTGCGCGTGGGTTTAACAGGATAATGTCTGTTTGGAAACTGGAGGCAATTAAACTACAGCGAGATGCAATCAAAGCTGGCATCAGTAATTAGCTTTGCCAGATACAGTGCCCTTTGTAGCAAACGGGATTTTTTTTTTGTACCAAGTTAGAGAATGAAACAGGAGCTGGGCTGTGGCTACGTGCAGATCAATGGAGCTGTGCCGGAGGTGAGCCTTGTAAAACTCTTAGGCATTTACTAGAGGAAGCAGAGATTTCCTCACTTGCTGTACCCATGCAAATTCCTTTTACCCTGGAAAATGAATGCTGCTTTACTCACCCAGCAGTAAAACTGTGTTTGCACCATCCCCAAGTGTGAGGGAAAAGGCAGCTGTGTTACGGGTAACGCGAAGCCAGCCCCAACGGCGCAGAGTAAGCCACTGAAATTGAAGTAGGGCACGAGAAAAGCAGAAATCCTAGTATGAAAGTCTGAACTTCATAAACCTGCCGGCACGGTAAAAGCTCCATTTCATCTCTGTAGAGGTATTTTTGAGACCGTTCAGGTGAGGTTTCAGAAGCAGTCACCCAATCTCTCCAACGTCGTTTCCACAAACGCTGCCGTGTTAACGTTGCACAGGCTGGAATGAAGCTACTGTGCTTTATCTGCTGGAATGGTGTAAGAGCTCTTCATCTTAAGGGGAAATTATTAATCATTTTCTTTCACATGCTGCCAGAATAGAAAAGAAGGCATCTCTCGCCCCTGGAGAATTTTGAAGGTGACAAGGTTTTTGCAGAGCTGTCAAGCTGCCTGCACGCAGGGTGACGCTTAAATTCTCCAGGCTCTTTTCTGAAATAGCAAGCGCTTCTGGAAAGGGGAGAAGGACTTTCATTTTAGGCTCCTTCACAAGGGAGAAACGGAGACAAATATCCCAAAAGCTGAAGGGATGAGAAGCAGGCTGTAGCAAAGGAAGAGAAGACAAAGCAGGACAGGAGATGAAAGGCAAAACCAAAAAAAAAAAAAAAAAGAAATAATAACAAAAACTAAAAGCAGAGAAAGGAAAAATTTCAAAGGGACAAAATAGGAGGAGGAAAACCTTTTTATTCCTGGAGGAAAACCCAGCACTCAGATAATCAGGGCTGTATCCTAGGAATTAAAAAGGGAATCAACCAACATTGGGCTAGGTTTTCTTTTCACTTAGTGGCATTTCACTTCACAGCTCACGTACCGGCTTCTCCTGGTGCTGAATAAGTCTCCTGGCTGGCACTTTCTTCAGATGTTGGTGCCGTGGCCTCCTGGTACCCTCCAACATGTGCTTTAGATCATCTCCTTTATCTAGAACAAGATCTGGTTTGGGATTTGTCTCAGAGATGTTTAGGGGAGAGAGGCACAGAAGGGGCATGCTTTCTCAAGTTCAAATGCAAGAGGGGAAAAGCAGCAGCAGGACCAGGAGCTCTGTAAGTGTGCCTCTGTCACTCCTTTGCTGCTTCTGGGCATTCCTCAGCTCTCCGAGAGGCAAGAGCAGGCTCTGTAGGCAGACCAGGTTTCGGAAGGAAGGGGAGCTCCTCCTGCAGCTGCCAGAAGTCAGCTCTGCTCGGGTTGGGATTGTCGGCTCAGCTCCCAGGGAACGGGTGGGAAGTGGGCTCAGAGCGCGAGCAGCTGGCGAGAGGGAGCTGGCTGAGCACGGGCAAGAAACCCGAATTCATAGTGCAGCCCCTTGCCCATGTCTGTCCAGGCATGTGGGACATCAAACCATCACACCACTTGTGTGGGTACCACACAAGTCCTTAATTAGACATTATTAGACATTCTCCCTTAATTAGTCATCTACATTCAGCTACATCCGAGCAGCGAAGCAGTCCCCACTGCTGCTGTTTTCCACCAGAATGGGCCCCCTCCTGCCACCACCGTCAGTAAAATTCACTGCTTTGGAAGTTCACTGGGGAAATGAGAAGCCCAGCCAAAACCTTTCCATTTGGAAATGTGGGGGTGTTTTTTTCTTTTTTTTTATTTTATTTTTTTCAACTAAGTATTGTTAAATGTTTGGAAGCTTTTTTTTCCCCTTAAAAAATGAACGTTTTTCTGTTACGGAGATCAAACATCTTTCTGCTCTTTTCTTGTGTAAAATAACATAGCAGAACAAGGAAACTTGATGTTTTTAAAGATTTCCATCCACATTCTACTTTCTTAAAGAATCTTTTCTGAGCTGAAGATCAATTGCTTTTGATCAAAAGTGAGGAAGAGCGTTAACTGGAATATTCTCCTACCATCTCTCGCTTCCAGTGACAAAAGCATTGCATTCAGCTCCCGATGGTGTGTGACCTCAGGGTGATCCTCTGCCCTGACTCATCCATCTGGGATGGTGGATGCACAGCCCTTCAGCCAGCCCCAGGGTGCAAAACACGGCAGTGTTTGTCTCTGGGCAGACGCACACTGCTGGTGAAATCCATCCCACCCTCACCAGAGTCCTGAGAGCTCCAAAGGCATTTCTGATCGGTGGAGAAGGGGCTCCTCTTGACGCAGCAGGGCAGGAGAGGTCCTGGGGGACAGCTGCAGATGGAGATTGTGAAGGTCCTGTGCAGCGATGCTGGGCTGGTGAGGAGCTTTTTAGGCAGACACTGCCACTGACTCAGGTCTGCATTTTAGGTCAGTCCAGAGGGTGGAAGATGCTGGATAAGGCCACCCTGCTCCTGTTCCTGCATTTAGTTGCATGCTCCATCTCCTCTCCTCTCTACCCAGCTCTCAGGTAAGATACTGACTGCTTCATCCATGCTGGAACTCTCTGCCTCAGCTCTGACCTTCTGCAAAATGAGCATGTGCCAAATTCAGTTTGCCAGCCCTTTCAAAAGCCAGATAAACTGTGTGTGCTCTGGTGAACCTGTTTCTTTACCCTGGCTTATTTTTTTTTTGGGAATGCCACTAGCTTAGGAGTGGTTTCCAAAGAAGGCAGGCACCCAACATGGGATATTTCAGCCCAAACAGTTCGTTGTGGAACTGACTGCTGGATCCTATGAAGGGGAATCTGGCAAACTCCAGAGCAGCCAGCACCACCAGCACCATCACTGATTAAAGTCTGTGCCTGCAGGCTACCTGCATTGAAATCGGAGCCACAGATATATCAGTACATGAACTCAACAGCTGCATATTAATATTTTAATATTAATATTGCCAACTGTTTGAAGTTAATATTACTCCTCACTATTACAAATTGATGGATGTACAAAATTGGGCATAGGGTTCTCTAAAGCGGATTCACAACACCCCACAGAAAATGCCTCATGCCTTGTGCCAAAGCCAGGGCACGATGATACCACAAGCACTGGAGTTTTGCTTGACATTGCTGGGAGCTCAGTGAGGGGAAAACACGTTTGGGGCAGCTTCACTACCTGCCCTTTAACTGCTGGGACAGCTTCGGGGCAGTTTCTGGCTGGGAAGAGTGACAGACAGAGCTTGTGTTAGTGGTGAGGGAGGGATGGAAAGGGAGAGAGAAACGAAAAAGCAGAACGAGGAGGAGCAGTCAAGAACCCTGAGCAGCATTTGACCAGTGTTTTGCAATATGCCTTTTTCCTTTTTATTTTTTGCAGGTACAGCCCAGGGCCCGTTACTGGCAAGGCCATGAACTTCCAGCTACAGGACCGCGGCCCACTGCAGGGCCATAACCCCTCAACAGAGGAACAGGACGAGGAGGGTTTGTTAACAGACCCTACAGAGAAAAGGTTTGACCTCACCTGCTGCTCTGCAGGCACTTCTCATTAGCCATTTCAGTACAAATACTGATTAACAGATATATTTTGTTTTTCTGGCTGCCTCCCTCTCAGAACCCAAAATCCCTCAAATCTTTGCACCCTCCAACACTAACTCAGTCCAATACTAAGAAGCCTTTGGTACCTTTACACCCCTGATCTCAGCAGTTATATCTGGTGTATTTTGACACCCGAAACGTCCACTTCTTACCTAGAAAACTCTCTGCTAGCTCAGTGAGCACACCTTGTGCTTGTCTTTCACCCCTAGGATGCAGCGCCACGCAGATGCCATATTCACCGACAACTACCGGAAATTCCTGGGGCAGATTTCTGCCCGCAAATTCTTACAGACCATCATTGGCAAGCGGCTCAGGTAAGCCCCGGGGGTTTGCTGTCCCAGAGACAATGCTTTGGTACTGCCTTTTTTTTTTTTTTAATGTATGTAGCAGGAACAGCTGCCTTCCGCTGCAACAGAAGCAATCTCCTGCTGCTCCACACCCCAAAGGGCATCCTATATCCCCACTTCTAAGATCCCTCTAATCACAACAATTATTAAACGGCCTAATTAATCCATCCCTCGGAGGCTATCAGTGTCAGATCAGCTGCGAGCTGTACCATGCTAGCAACGAGCAACAGTCTTTGCAGATTAATAGCTGCAATGATCGTTCCCCGTTAGGAAACACCCACTGTTAACGCTGTTACGCCTGGTCTGAGCACAGAACACAGCCTCTCTGCTACACCTTGGGCAGCTGTGGTTAGACACATCAGTTATTGCCACTAAATATGACCAACTAGTCAGATGCAAGCCAGCTCTGACCCCACTCCTATCACGGGAACAAACAGCTGCCCAATTTCCTCCTGAAATGAGGCAGAACAGCCCCAGGCCCAGCAGGCTCCTTGCTGCTCAGCCTGAGGGACTAAAACCTACCTCTGAAACCAAGACGGTTCCCGTCTTCGCATCACAGGAACAGTGAAGGCAGCCCAGAAGAAGGGGTGCCCGAGCTTCTGACGAGGCGCCAGTCCGACAGCATCCTGATGGACAGCCGCTACCACCAGCGGATGGTGCTGAGGGACTTCCTGGGAGCCATCCTGCAGAATCAGAGGTAGGTGGGAATCGGTCCGGAGCCTGCTCTCCGCAGGATTAAGGCCAGGTCCTTCCTGCTGTCTGGCTTTTAGTTGTGAAGCTATTGGATTAAGTACTACCTTTCAGATACACCCGGGGAAAAAAATAAAAGCTCCTACCTGACCCCATAACCCACCCCTTCCCTTTCATGGGCAAGGAGGGTGCACAGAAGGATCAGCCTGTCCTGAGCCCGGAGCACACAGCAGCACATCACTGTGCTGCCTCCTCACCCCCATAATTCAGTAAAACAGCAGCAGAAAAAACAAATCTCAATCCCAGTTATATCATCACTGTTCTCTTCTTTCACAGGCCTCGGGACGTAAACAGCAGCCAGTTAGAAGGGTTTCCCAACACCCTGGCTAAGCTCATGTAAATATTTCTCCCTTTTCCACCTCCCCGTGCTCTGGTGAGTACCATTCCCTGCACAACTGCGTCTGTGACACTGCACCCAAGTGGTTTGGAGGCTTTCCCTTAGCAAAGCCAACTCCCACCACTGCCCATGGGAAAAGGGTGTAGGCTGCAATTTAGGGAAAAAAAGCTCCCAACCAATTTTTTTAATGTCAAGTACCTTATTTAGGTACTTTAAGTACCTTATTTAGGTACTTGACATTAGTACCACTCAGACCTGTAAGTCAGAGCAGACACCTAGGCATGTGTCTCCACAAGACGCCCCCTGGTCTAACTACTCTGCCCGACCACAACCACAGCTCTCAGATCTATCAGCAAATCCAGCACTCAGACACCCTTTTGGATATGTGGGACCAGGCTGGTAGCAACCAAAACATCCTCATAAAGCTGACAGACACCATGGCTGAAGCTAACCTAAACACAGACAAAAATCTTCTCCCAAGGCACAGAAAGTTCCTCTAGATGCCCAGTACATTTCAGGTTTTCCCTCATTGCACTGGATAGGAAATGAAACCTTAGTTTTCTGTTCCCCTCAGTCCTAAAATTAGTCGCCTGGAACTTGAAATATGCTCTAAGCCTCGCCAGCCCTGGGGGATTCAGAGCCAGCACACAGGCCATCCTTGGTAATCCCTTCATTCATACAAATGTGTTTTCCTCCATGAAGCAATTCCATCTTACTCCTGTCTCAGAAATTAAGCTTGTCTAGCCCTAGTCAGCACAATATGAAGCGGTGTGGAGAGATCTGTGAGAATATTAAATAAAAAAGGGGGGGGGAGGAGGGGAGAAAGACCAGAACTGTACATAAATCATACGTGTGGATTCAGCTAGGAAAGCATAGCATTTAAGCATCTCTTGCCGTGTTTAGAGTTGGTTACGTGCAGTTCTTTTCACAAATGAGGTCAGCCAGGAAAAGCCTCAAAAAAAGAAAAAAAAGTGCGCACTCACCAATAGCTTTTTCATAATTCTCTTTTCCTCCTGCTTCTGTACAGAATAACTCAGAGCTCACGGATCTAACTGTACAGTAAGCCACTCACAGCCATGAAGACATTCCTGGAGGTGACCAGCTGGAACTGAAGCATAGTCCTCAAACCCGTTTAAAGGAATACAATTCTGATGCACTACTTAATTTACTTCAGTCATTACAATTTAATTCCCCTCTCTAAACATTGGTTTGTGTACTGAACCAGGAAAAAAAAACAACAAACCTCTGTGGTTTAACCTCAGGCTGCTTTGCATATAAAGGCTAAAAACGAGTACACTTGTAATCCTGGAGACATATTGTCTGCTCATTAAGACTTTCAAATCACGAAGTGCAGCAAAATTTCTGCCAAGTCATCATTGTTTGAGGGCCTGATTAATAAATCTGAGGCCACCAAAAGGCACCTTTTGGCAGTTTAGTGAACTGATTACAGCCTCCTCCAAAAAGCTGCTGATGGCACAGCCACACACAGAGCAGGGCGAGGTAACGCATGACTCCACCAGCCCACCACCCAAACACCGCTGGGGGCTCTCACTGCCCAGCCCCTGCACAGAGTCCTGGCAGCAAACCTGGTCTCTAAGAAGCCCTGGTGACGAGCAGTTACTGTTCAGCCTCGAGGTGTTTTATGCTGAGGCTACAGTTCTGCTCTGCAAGAGCAAAAGGAGAGCCCTGTGCATCAGATGGGGCTGACACTGCTTTAATTTAGGGTGCCAGCCAGAGGCTCTGAACACCACCACGGCTAGGGCTACAGCTGTAAATGTTCCCACTGCCACTTACAAGAAGTTATTAACCCAGTGATCTCTCACATAACTACTTCCTTCTCTGTCACCCCAATTATCCCATCGTTCATGTAGTATTTATGTCTTCAGAAATGTAAATAGTGTCAGGATGGGGTACGCTTTCCCATCGTTAGCAGGGAATAAAAGTTGTTCTAAATAAACCTGTCCAACAGCAGGTCAAGATGGCTCTGTGTCTATCGAGATGTTAGTTTCTTGATTCCAGGCACAGAATGGAAATGGGAGATGTTGCTCAAAGACAGCAGCAAGAGCACAGAGGGCAACTCAGAGCTGTGCTTACAAAGGCACTGGGTCCAGTGCCAACCATTTAAGACCAGGCTGGAAGTACACCTGCAAACAAACATATGAAGGCCTCCTAAAGTATCCCTCGTTGCACCCAAACAATTCCCTGGTAATTCACACTATTTACCATCTCGTTTTTCCTCAGGTGATCATGTCTTAGTGCAGTAGGCTCCAGCACACATGGAAATGAGTTCATACTTGCACCAAATCCCGACAGATTACATTCTCCCTGTTGAAGTTTTAGAACTGTAGCACTACAAAAATATTATCGACTGCCCAGCAGGGGGGGAAACAACAGGGGGATGCTGAGGTCCATCAGTAAAGCTACGACAGCAGCAGCCCACTAATGGGCGATCCGTTACCCTTACGCAGGCAGAGAACTGTCACGGTGAGACACGTCATCCTTCTGCTTCGCAGTACAGCTGGAACAAAAGAAACCTGAACAGGGACTGCTTCAAAGTGGGCTTGTAAAGCTGTTGTCTAACACCAGCCAACGTACCTGAAGCCATTACAAATTGCTCCAAGGAAAGGAACCCCCCTATCCAAAAGCATATTCATCAATTAGAAAGTAAACAAGGTAACAAAAAAAATTACAAGTGACATGAAAGCTATACTCAAACACTATACTACATTCAATAGTTTTAAATCAAAAGACAGTATCATAAAATACCTTGGAAATACCTAAGTCTGTATGATTAAACAGCTGAGTGAGTGTACCAATCTGGAATAAGAGGGATTCCTTTGAAAGCTTGGTTTGCATAAAAATGAGGAAGCAAATGCTCAAACTCTGAGCATGAAATGTTTAAAAAAAAGCAAATCAGAAAGTGTCTTAAGAATAAAGGGCTACTGGAAGAAAAAACATCCTTTCCTAACATATAGCCAAAAAAGAAAAAACCACAACAGCAACAAGCAGAGCTCAGAGAAAATGAATCACAGAACTGCATGGTTTTCTTTTTGCATCTGTACTGTCATTGGAGAACATGCCAGAGATCTGCTACAGGGGGTGTACCGGAGCATCTGTCATAGTGTGAGTATCAGCAGATTAGTTATAAAACAAAGTTATAAATCAAAGCCAGATAGGTGTGCAGTAACAACACCCAAAAAAAAGCCTCAAAAACTCAAGAGTGAAAAGGAATTGCAGGGTAAAATAGTGTAAATAGTAGCTTAACTATTTCTTGCTTACAACCCCTTTATTCCCAGAAGGCTCGAATGCAGCACGAGATCAGTTCTTTGAAGGAGTGCAGAGGAGGTCAAGGGACTAGTTCATCAGGCCTGTACTGGTGTTCAGTACAGTGTTCACCACAAACAAACTGGTAGAAACTGGTGTTACAAAGAACAGAACCAGTGAGCTAAGTGTGAACAACTGCAGCAGGGAAGAGGCAAGATGGCTTTTATAAATCGGAGTCATGCCTCACACATGTGAGGTTCTTCGGAGGAATTAGCTCCACACCCTTTATCCACATGCTTGCTGGTTGATATAATTTCCTTGGATTTCCAAAAGACAGTTTGTAAAGTTCCTTTGCCAAGAGGTCTTTAAAGAAACCCATCTGACACGGGACAAACAGGAGCCAACACACAGACACAGGGGAGGGAGCCAGGAGCAACCGTTAAGTTTACCACATGCAAGTTGTTCATCAGGAGAACTCCCCAGAAATCTGTTGTTCCTCCAAGCACTCATCTTTCCCCCTCCCCAGCTCATTAATTTGTTGATGATACAAAATTATTAAATACAAAGTTCAGGGTTATAAGGAGGATGGTGAGCGAGAAGCAGTGCATGTGCCATTAGCCTGAAGACACCAGCCAATGACATAGAATTAAAAGGCATCAAACTCATATTTGGAGGTCACTTCCAGAGGCTGCCATGAAAACAAACCCACCAGAAGGGCACCCCAAACCTGCCGGGGCAGACACGCCAGGCACGAGGCCTACAAGGGCCAGAGCCCAAGGACCCCTCCTCTTTGAGCTCTGAGCACCCGTGGCAGCTCCACAGAGCCTGGCGCCATCCTGAGTTGAGAGAACAGCAATTTGCAGAGAAATGCAGATGACAGCATCACAAACGATGGGCAGAAGTGGGAAACACCCCCAAATAAACACGTACCTCTGGGAAAAGGACATGAAAGAAGAGGAACCTTTGCACCACAATGACTAATACAGAAAAATTGCCCAGCCAGAAAGCTCATTTCATTTTCATGTGAGCTCAACTTCCAGTCCGAGACTGAAACAGCCAAAACAAGATTCAGGACCATTCTTTCCTCTTTATTCACAAATCACTTAGTACGAGGAGAGGGCGCCTGGGGAAAGGTAGAATTATGTTTTCCTTTTTCTTCTTTTTCTAAAAGAAATTAAAATATCCCAGGAGAAGAAAAGGGAAGAGTGGAGTGGGGCATGGATCCAGGGAAGAAAGGATTTTTGAGATTCATATGAAAACCACTCAGGTAGCATGAACACAACAGTGAAAATCAAAACTTTTTTTTTTTTTAAAAAAAAGTATAACTGGAACCCTCTTGACTTAATTTATATAAAAAAAAAAATCTTCTGCCTTCCTTCTTCTGCTCTTTCAGTTATTCACTTCTGTTCTGAAGGCATTTGCTTTGTTTTTTCCCCATTTCTTCCATTCTTCTGGTGCTAGTGTGTCCTGGAAAGGAAAATCCAAACAATTAACTCTTCCATGCAACAAAGTACTTCCTCGAACAGTAAAAGTGTCCCCCGAACCCTCATTCTCTCTCAAAGGAAGTTTATCTGACAGGAGAGCAATAAAACCAGTACTGCAATATAACTGAGGAATGAACTCAAGTAGCATGGAAATGTTCAGACAACATGAAGGTCTGGCACAAAGGGATGGACGAGCCTTATGAAACAAAACTGGACAAAAAAAGCAGGGCTGAATGCAAAGCCTGCAGCTACTCTACCATTCTTCTACTTTAAACAGGGACAATTTATCCAAGTGGAATCAGTTGGTCCATGTAAACACAAAGGAGAGACCTCCAACAAAGCTGGCACAGCAGGTCCATCTTTCTGGGGTCCTTCTCTCTCCCAGGATGCCAGACACAAGCATAGCTGGGTGCACTTCACAGGCCAGTCCCCAGATACTGGTACCAATACAGTCTTAAATGACATCTGGGGCATCAGAGAACCCAGCAATAAGGAAAAATGCTTGTGACGGCACTTTTGGATTAGGAAAACCTAATATATGGACCATGGATATTAACATCTTAACATCTTCCAGGATTATACTCACAGCCTACAGGGAATTCAGGAATTAAAATACCCGGCTAAGAAGCAAAAAGCTCGCAAGCTGTGGAGAACACACTTCCTGGGTATTTGGCAACTGACCACTAAAGCTGAAAACCAGTGGCTCAAAGTTTTGGTCAAAAGTGAAGCATCCAGCAACCAGCACAGCACCAGCAAACAGCCAGGCTACAGTCAGCACCGCTCCACCAGCACGAGCGACAGCCACCTCCTGTTCCTCTCCGGTTCCTTGTCAGAGCTTGTGCTGTGCTAACATCCCTCCAGCACCCCAGGGAGGATGAGGCAGTACCAGGGTGTTTCTCCTATGGAACACAATGCCAAGCTCTCCATAGGTGATTTTTCAGATAGCACGGAGGATGGTTTCAGATGTGCAAACAGAAGCTCAGAGCACAGCACACGTGGTTTCTGAGACGCAGCCAGCCACGCTGGTTTGTTTTGCGCCGCAGAACTGAGCTCTGCCGAGCACACTGCATGTGTGCCTGCAGCACTGGCTATGAACATGAGAGAAAGCAGATGCTCATGAGACATAGCAGTGCTGCACATTCTTCAGCAATTTCAGTCCCATCGCAGGACTCGTCCCAGATTCTTTCTCCCTTCTAGCTTTATAAAATAACGTGCTGATAAGAAATGAAGCACAGTGAATTGGGTAACACAGCGTACTGGGTAGTCCTGCCTCCCACACCACTGTGGACATCACAAACTGGGACCTTTCCTGCTCAGAATCAAAGGAAATGATGGGCTTTACACCAGCAAGTGATAATGGAGACCTATCAGATGGTTGTATTTAATCAAGGGGAGCTTGATGCTGCTGCTGCTGACTGTGCCATCATGACCGGTTCAGTCTAAACCAAGGGTGAACCCTGGGTAAGGTCATGTTCTCAGCTGAATGAGGTGGTGCTGACCTGGTTTCTGCTGCATACAGAGCTCTCGTCAATCCAAGCAAGGACATAATTCAGTTTCACCAGCAGTAAAGAGTGTCTAGCAGCTGAATAACCAGAATACTGCACATGGGAAAGGGAATACCAACAGCAGGATGGGATACGGGGCATCTTTATTATGTTCTCCTCTAGCTAACACTGCTAATCATTTACAGGAACAATATTGCTTAGACTAGGTTGATCTCTATACCTCAGACAGTGTATTAACATGTGCAGCGTATCACCACACAGACTCAAGATGATTAAGGAATCACAAGAAGGCAATTCAGTCTCAGAGGACACGTACTGCTAGTATGCAAACCCAGCGGTAGCCAAGGACA